TGATCACTGAAATAAGTGTAACAGCTTTTATATCAACATAAGATGAGAAAGCCAGGCAGGTAAGTGCTCTAGGAAGGAAATCCTTCGTCATCCTGTTACCATCACCTAGAGCTGGTAGAAGTTGGTCTTCTTCAGAGTATTCTTCCTAATGGTAGCTTGTGATTTTAATAAATTGACTCATAAAACCTTGAATACAAGGCATTTGGTAATTTGAACTATTAATTACCTTGTTTATTTGAACATATTTTACCTTCAAAATGTTATTCTCTCTTTCAATTTTGAAACTTGACCCTTGTGAAGAGCTACTGGTGACCTACAGGAAGTAGGCTGAAGTTTTCTAGCTTTAGGAAATTATATCAATAATTGACTGTAAGTGGGACCTCTTTAAAGGTCAGCATTCTTCAGCAGCTACACATCACCTCTTCTGAATGCCTGATTAGGTCAACAGAATTTCTTTCATTAGTTGCTCCATATATGCGTGTCCACACTTGCTTTGTCTTTCTACACAAACACACAGAGAAACATTATGTTAATTTCAATGCCTGAATAACTGTATTAGAAGAACTCACACAAATTGAAGGTTAATGTAAAGCAAAAACTGAACCCATTTACTGCAAGGAGAAACTTGGATGGGAATTTTCAAATGAGAGAATTAAATACTCAAATGCCATTAAAAGTCAATGCAGATTGAGCGTTGACCTTTCCAAAACTCTTCTAAAATTCTTAAATATTTAATGGAACTGGTTAAGTTAAATTCTTTAAGCAACAGTTGCATGAAAACATTATCCTTTATTTGAGGAGAAAAAAAAAAAAAGAAAATAGCAACCATCCTCATCCAAAACATCCTTGAAATATGTTGTACTCACTCCATATTACATGGATATCCCTTAAATAATGGGCATAGCATACAGTCTGAAAAGTAGTAATTTTTTTGTACAAAATGGGTAACATACATTGACTCATTAAAAAAAAAGTATGGAATTTCAAGTGAGAAACTTATACAAATGCTTTAATAATACAATATAGAAATCTATTCTAAAACAGCTTTAAATAAAAATACAGAAACATGGAGAATGACCTAAGTGTCTTTTTAGTCTGATGTTATGAAACTGGAACCACCTAACAATAAAGCAAACTTTTTACTTATTTCACAACCCCTAGCACCCTCATCTTGGGGTTAGGAACAAAGCATAACAATGGAAATTGCAGGATTGTTTTTAAACATAAGAAGTAGTGAGATTTGGGAGAGCCCATAGGAGCACTCAGAGACTTCCTTAAGAAGCGACGAACACCAGCAGGGTATGTAGGAAATTACTCTTCCCCCCTCCAAGTTTTCAATTTACAGACTTGTAACAGAATATCATTTAGGCTTAGGAGTATTATGTAGTGGAAGATTCTCTCCCTTTCTCCCTCTTCAGGATGAAAATATCAACACTACTCTGAAATGTCTGGACTAGCCTTAGCACTGTATTGTGTCTATACACCCAGTAATGAAGATGAATCATTCCTATTTTCACTGTACCTGTAAGCAAGAAAATTCCTTTTGCATCTTTAAAAATGCTTAGTATAATGTAGTATTTAAAGTCAATTTAGAGATGCTATAATACATAAATACTAAATATATCCAAAGGAATAACCAAAGTAGCAACCTTTCAATTTCCATGGAAACCCTACTTAGAACACAAGATACAAATCCTAGACAAATGTTAATCTCTTAAACCTATACAAATTCACACTTCGAAGATGCAGTCTACAAACAAAAAAGAGACTGCAATATAAAGCACCAATATTCCAAAAAATGTATCAACCAGCAGAGCTGTTGGTGCTCCTGATGCACCGAAGTCCTCATAGGCTCAGCCTGTAAAGAATCGCTCACAGCAGGCATGCTATGCTAATAGCAGCATCTAGAAAACAACATGCCATGGCAGTGATGAAAATAACTTGGAAACTGACATTTTCGCATGCAATATTTTTCAAATATTAAAAATATACCAAAGTTAGCAACAAAAAAAATCCCATTTTCCAGCAAGACACTTGTGGTGTGGGGTGGCACTGCAGAAAGGAGGTCTGCACAGCTGTATCCCCCCCCCCCCCCCGCCAAAAAACCAAACAAACCCAAAACCCAAAAAAAATGCAAACACAAAAACAACCCCCAAAACAAAAACACAGAACAAAACAAAACAAAAACCAAACTCAGTGGCTAGCTTAGAGAAAATCTCTGATCTCTTCAAGCTCATTCCCTACCAGAGGAGAGTTCCTGGCAAAAGCTGAGGCTTTAGAAATACATGTTCAGCCAGACAGAGCACTAAAGAAACAATGTAGGACATGTGTGGCAGCTGAATTTATTGTTTCCTTCCTCCAACCAGGCATTAAAAACTGGTACAAGGATAACTTCCTAGGGCTAAGAAATACCCTGAATGAAACACCACATTAGCCTGGCCTGACAGACTTACATACTTTTAAGACCTTTCTCAGAACCCTGGACGGAAAAAAAACAACAAAAAAACCCCAACCAAAACAAACAAACAAACAGACAAACAAACAAAAAAACCCAAGAGAACTCTAGCCCAAAAAACCCCAAACAAACCAAAACAGAGGTGCCTGCTTCCCAGAGAGTCTCTGTACATGCTGAGCCTCTGAGTTGAAGAATCTGGTAAGTTACTCCTTTTCTCACTGGAGAGGGTGAAGTTCATTAATTGGAGAAGGTGAAAATGAAGCAGGAGTTAGGCAAAGACCAGGGCACTAAAGACCACTTTGTGGTTACTGACAATCAAATACAGCAGGGCAGAAAAGAGCACTGACAACTCACCTTCTTGGGGAGTAGAGATGTCATTACTTGGATATGTAGAGCAAGGAAAGCCCCTATGCTCCATAGGCTGCAGCAAAATCATCATGCAAGTATTGTCCTACACATTTCTACTGGAAGGAAAGCTACCACTGGGTCAAGATCTAATATCCCATAAGTACATTATTGCAAATGGCTAATGCCTGTCCCATGAGTACAATCGATTCCCTCAAATTACACTATACAGAAGACAGAAGTTTAAATAGATGCGCAGACAAGCATTTCCACTGATAAGCTTTTACAAATTTAAGTGACCATCCTGGATTTCTGAAGGAATTCAATATATAACCTCTTTTTTTTTTTTTTTTTTTTGCTTCCTGTTAACCTTTTAACTAATGCATGACTATTTCTATCTCAAGAATATATTTTCAATTTATTCTTGATTAATATTAGGCCAATTACTTTTGTCAAGGCAATGACAAGAATTTAAGTAATTCTTTACTATATTCATCTGGTGTTTGACATATTTCACATTAAATGAAGAATGGCATAGCCAGCTGAGTTTCCAAAGCTAATTTGGACCAGGGGAAAAAAAAAAAAAAAAAAAAACAATCCCCTGTGTTAGAATCTGACTGGGCTCCAAATTAAATGGTCTGAAGCCTCACAGCCAGTAAGTAACACACTCTAGGTCTGCTTGGCTTGAAATGTAAAAGCATAAATTTTACCTTCAACCACATCACCTTATCAGATGTGAAAAAAATACGTACAATATGCAGGAATCAGAGAAACACACTGGGGAACAGGTGGAACTTGGATATAGTCATTTCAAGGTTTTCACACTGTAGATGACAAAACCCCACTTTGTTCACTTTCTAGTGGGCACAAAACAATGGCACTCCTAGCAACTGTGTCACGTTTCTTTTTTTTTTTCTGCAGAAATAATCCTGTTGCAATGACAGTCAAAAAGTAGAGGAAAGAGGATACTAAGCTTAAGAGTAGCAGACTTATGCACATATGGTTAGAAATTAAGTCAGTGTGAACACAAAAGTATTCTAAGTTCACCTACAAAACACAGAGGAAGACAAAAATATTCTTTAGATTGTTAGTAATGTTGTGATGTTTCTTCTGTAAAGTAAATCATTTCTTGTGTATTTCCAGGACTCCTTGAGAAATGCTCATGCAATCAACCAATCAATTATTTTCAACACAAAGTAGGGGAAAAAGTTAACCATTTTGAATTTTCAGCTCCAGTTAGTTTTGGAAAGATAATAAAAATTGTTTTCTAATTTGTTCAGCTGCTTAGCACTGAAGTGCATTAAAGTGCAATTTCATTCATTTTTGTCATGACACAGTCTTTATATGATGAAGCAATCCCAGATGCAGAGCATTTCAGATTCTCTGTTGAAAGTTAACTCTGAAATGCTCACTCCCTTCATGGAACTAGAATTTCAGTAAGACAATTCTACCACAGGTACATGACTGTTGTGAAACTTATAACCATAAATAATTACCCATCTCAAATACCATCAGTAACACAGAACCTCTGGTGATTAACAAAATAAATTAAAGAAAAAGGAAAAAAACCAGCTGGATAATCCTTGGTAATATTAGATTATAAAATACAAAAGTTTTGACTGTACTGATAATCTTTGAAAATTACTCAGCACTATTTTGAAAATGAGGCTGAAGGAAATTATCCATTTTTCACTCTTTTATTCATTCAAGTAAAGTGTGTTCAAGACTGAAAGTACAGGAAGGACAGTAAGCATAGAATATACGCAGCCCCAAATTCTCAGTCTTAAGTATTGTGAGTATATGCCATTTATACAACTGTGCTGCACAGCAGAAACTGTGACATGATTTTTAGAGGTGAGAGAATTCATGTTAGGGGAAACACCATTTGGCTATCACCCAGCAGAATAAATTTGGCTGAGATATCCATTCAGGTAGATGAAGGTAAATATTTGGATCTTAATAAAGACAAAGACATTAACTTTCTCTAAAGATTTAAAGACTCTAAAGCAAGTACTATAGGTTACTAGAAAACCAGAATCAAAACCTAACAACCAATGCATGTATTTAAAATGAAAAAGGAAACTTCAAGTATAAATTCTAAAGTTTTAAACAAAAACCGGAATTATAATTTGATACACATACATACACCCCCTGCCACAATAATGTCTTCATAAACATACAGCAAGTTTTGAAAGATTACCTGGTAAAAATACCATCCACAATACCAATTGTCGACTCCTCTGCGGGAACATAAGAACCAATCTGTGCCATGACTGTGATCAATGCAACTTGCTTTATATAGGAGCTCTTTCCTCCCATGTTGGGTCCAGTTATTATCATGACGCTTTCGCCATCTCCCTGGAAACATAAAACAGTGGTGAAATATATTGTCCTGCACATAGAGGTTTTATAAGAAAGTCTGGTGTGTATGTGTGTTTAGAGGGATATAGGACAAGCCCTCAGGATTAACCATTCTGTTTCTAGATTAACAGCTTCCTTCATTCTTCAAGTTCATCACGTTCACTTTAAGACATTATGAAGCCTCAGATACATACATCTTGCTAAGATCTCTCCAGGCTGGTGAGAGAGAAGCATCACAATCAACTTTCATTACTCTAGAGCAAAACGGACAGAGTAAAGGAGAGACTTCCCCTTCTTCATCAAGAAGCCAAGAAAGCACTCCCAAGAATTTTCTTTGCAATTTTGTTTAGAGAAAACTCATCAGCTTTCAGCATAGGCAGTGCTGTCCTAATTTGGTTGTGATCTGGATTCCTCCCGGGTTAATAGTTCTCATTGACTGCCAGATCTTCTCCCCATTTGGCAAAGACCTGATCTAGATTTTACACCCGTTCATAATTAGAACACACACATTCAAACACACTGGCTACAAGACGAAATCAAGACATCACCAAGTTTGGCAATAGTTGACTGCAACACAGATATTGTGAGCAGACTGCATACAATTTCTGATCGATCAATGTATATAACCACTGAAATCCTATGGAAAATGAAATCAGATGCAAGAGCTTGTCTCAGCTGTAAGACTCCCTACAGTACCGCCACATGTCTACAGCACCAGAACAAAACTGTCTTTCTCTGGTACAAGACAACTGATAATACAGAATTAAAACTCACGAATGAATCTATAAAGCTTTCTCATAACCTGAATCAAGACTATGAAATCAAGTTATGCAATGACTTCAGACAACTAGACTTTTTCTTTCTACTGGGTACATACAATGAAATACAGCCATTAATAAACTAACCAAAAGTCAGCATATTCCATTGCCCCATGGGAGGGACATGGAAGAAAGGACAAGCTGTGCACAATGAACATAAGCCATGCTACTTAGGAAAACTGGAACTGATGAGACACTGTAACAACGACAAAAACAAAAAAATCTCCACAGAATAAACCTCGCTATCTTTACAGACTTGTTTTTGACCAGGCTTTCATTCTGTTAATAGGGAGACAAATAAAATTCAGATAGGACTGTCATTTATGTCATAATCCAGATCATACAGAAGATACATGCATCCAATATTTATTATATGCAGAAAGCTGTTTAGCTTTTGCAAAGAAAACCCCACTCATAAGGAAGTCACAATAAAGTCAAAACCCAGAAAATGCCATTATCAGGAATAAAGAATGAATGTAATAAAATGCACATGGCTATATGGGAACAAAATTCATAACATTCTACTCTCCGAGGTATAGTTTTAATACTGCTACTAAAATTTTGTCAGGGCCACCATCTGGCTCAAAAAAACAGAATTTACAGATACTTTAAACCAGAGTCAGTTCATCTGTTAAATTCCACAAATTTCCTGCATGTGTTTGGTGTCCCTCCAGCCATGTTGTGAGACTGGTGGCTGATTTGCAAAGCCAGCCTCCAAAAAGAACATATGCTGTAACGTCAGACCAGAGAACCATCTGCCCTTACAATTGCATGCAACCACAAGCTACCATCTTACTGGAATTCATGGCTGAAGTTAAAAGTACAAAAAGAACCCATTAATATTTGGGGAAGAAAGGGGGAACAGAAGAATAAGATGTTTATTTCAGGGCACTGTAAGAAAGCTTTTCCTAAAGTTAGATATCTGGCAACATTTCAGCTGAAAACACGATGGGAGATGCATTTTCCTTCTGCTTCAAACACATCAGCTTAAAACTAGAGGCATCATAATAAACCAGGTTCCCACCTCCCTCAAGAAAAAAGAGAACTCACCCAACAGTATCACCAGGAGTGACTCTACCATGACTACTTTATTTTGTAATATTATTTGTAAAGCCAATATAAGAATACCACTAACAGGGGAAAGTGCATTATGATTACTGAATGAAACGCTGAATTTTTTGTAAATGCCATCTGTCGCTTGCTTGGAGTTGACAAATAATTCTGAAAACGTTCCCTGAAGTATTTCACAATATCTGTATCATTGTTCAATATAGAACAGCATGTAAAAATATTTCCAGAAAAATACATACAAATTTGAATGGTGTTTATCACAGCAACTTTCCACACCGACATCTGTTTCATATCTTTTCTGTATTTACTCTATGAAAAGACAGTTATGTATTCTGAGTTAAGTGGCAAGCGTATTTTTTTCTATTTATTTTTCTATTTATTATGAACAGACATGTGGCATTTCAAAAAAGGTACAGACAGGTAAATACCGTCTCCCACAGTATCCTCATGCCTAAACTGAGGAAGTGCGGTCTGGAT